ACGGCCTCCTCGCTGCTCAGCCATCTCACCAGCCCTTCACTTGCCTTTTTATAAACTCCAGTCTCTGCTTCCTTTAGCCTTCCCTTCAGATTGTCAAATGTCTGATTCACTTCTTAGAAAGAAAAGGGAGGTGGGGACCCAAACATGGGCCACTTATCGAAGCTCTCTACCCCTGGCAAGTCTATTTCCCCCCCAGACAATGTGAATGGGAAAGACTGATGGAAAAATAGAGTCCTGGAGGAAGGTGAGGGGGGGAAAGACCATTAAAGATTACATTCCAGGGTATTATCAGTTCACATTGTCCACGCTTAGCCTTCTGGGTAATATGTGCAGTGTGCCCAGGTCTCGGGTTCCTTTCGGCCCTGGGAAAGCACTGTGGTGAACACTGTATCAGGTGCTAGGCTGCTGAGTTCTCTGGCCGGGGCACCAGGAAACTTCTAGAACCCTGCATGATGCCATCAGACTGCAGAAGCCAGAGCCCTGCCTTGGGCACCAGCAGGTGGACCTTTGCTGTGCACTGTGCTGGACCAGGGCTTAAGCAGATGCCAGAGCCCAAGTCCTTATGTCTCCACTGTGGGGAAGCAGGGGCCCCAACTCCAGATTCTGAGGGCTCTAGGAATGCTTCCAAGCATCTGGTCTCCATCCTTGAGTACGTTTGTCCCCAAGACCCGCCTCTCTCCTGGATGTGTTCCCACAGGCCTGCTGCTTGCCTGGGAGGATCACTAATCCGAATCACTAGAAGGGAAGGGTGGCTGTGGGTGGAACCTCTTGGGTTAGATGACTGGGCGGAGGAAAAAGATCTGAATTCTCTCATTTACACATTCTTTAATAATATTTACGGTGGCTTACTTACGTTCCAGGCATTGAGTTAGCACTTAAACACACCTTGTCATTTTTAAAATAACAGCTTTAAGGTATAATTGACGCACCATACAATTCGCTCCCGTAAAGTATGTAACTTCACGGTTTTTAGGCTATTCTCAGCTGTACCAGTATTTAATTTTAGAACCTATTCATCTACCCATAAAGAGACTTGGTCCTCATTTGCAGCCAGTCACTCCGGGTCTCCCTGCCCCTTAGCCTCTCTAGACAACCAGTCTACTCTCCTCCTGTACGGGTTTGTCCACCCCAGATATTTTAAGCAGGGGGAGCCTTTTGTGATCGTTGTTAATGCATGCTGTTTTGTGAGACCAAAGCTCAGCCTTCATAGTGCCAAGTAATATTCTACTCTATAGGTACACACGGTTAATGGGCTTTGGGCTTGCCTTCCCTTCCGGCTATTGTGGATAAATCTGCTGAGACACGGGTTATTTTCTGTTTAAAGCAGCCATCCTGATGGGTGTGAAGAGGCGTCTCGGTGTCGTTTTGATTCGCAAGACTACCCTGATGGCTGATGATGTGGGGGTACTTTTCATGGCCTGCCAAGACATTCACTTATCTGCATGGAGAAATACCTATTCATATCCTTGGCCCATTTTAAATTTAATTTAATTTTAAGGCTTATTTTATTTTAAAGTGTGTATGTGTGTACATGAATGCAGGTGCCCATGGAATCCAGAAGAGGTGATCCAATCCCCCTGAAAGCTGGGGTTACAGGCAGTTATGAGCCCCCTAATGTGGGCGCTGGGAACAGAACTCAATACCTTTGCAAGAGCAGTAAGTACCCAGTTGCTCTCTCAGCCCCAGCCCCCATCCCTAATTTTTTTTTAAGTTGGCTTATTTCTCTGTATTGTTAAGTTGTGAGACTCTTTTAAATAGCCTGGATACCAATCATCTTTCAATGACTGGCGGATTTGACAAGTCAAGTAAAAATAAATGAAGTTCGGGAAGGGGCTGGGATTCTAAGAATCCCTACAGTTCCAGGCAAGGTGACAGAAACTTACCTCGGGCAGTCCCCTAGAAAGGCAGGATGTGGAACTGTTCTTCCAGAAGAGTCTTCCCTGCTCAATTACAGCTCTTCTGAAGTCACTGCGGCACCCTGGAGTCCAGCAGTACCGTGGATTGGGGGAGGGAACACATGTTGGTTAACACATAGAAGGCAGAGCCTCCTGTGGGGAATTTTTCTTTTTCTTTCTTTCTTTCATTTTTAAATGCACAGTCTTTTGTGCCTTGGGCAAATGAGATGGTACATAGAAAAGCATTTTGGAATTGTAAAGGGATATGCAAATGTAAGGTGACATTCTTATTGCTACTATTGTTATTGGAGAGAACCAATAAAAGGCCTGTCTAGGATAAAGTCCCAGAGATGGGGGTGGGGGAGAGTGGGTTAGGGACAGATGGGGTGGGGAGGGCGAAATGACTGGGAGGAGGAGATGGGAGGGTAACAGGGCTGGCATACCTTGGTTGTGTGTGCGCGTGTGTGCATGTGTGTGTGTGTATGTGTGTGTGTGTGTGTGTGAGGGAGAGGAGGGAGGGAGGGGGAGGGAAAAAGAGAGGGACGGAGGAAGGGAGGGAGGGAGGGAGGGAGGGAGGGAGGGAGGGAGAGAGGGAGGGAGCACATGAGCACACCCAGCACCTTGTAATTGCTGGTGAATTCCTCTATCACCTGTAAAATTATTCACTTATATTCTTCTTTAAAAGGCTGCCATTTCTTTTCATTAAAGAGCTATGTTTACAAAGGCGCCTTTATATACCAGCTGTAAATGACAAACCCGCATCATTTTCAGAAGGGAAGGTATCCTATAAAAACAAATGTGAAAATCTGTACAGTGCGCGCAGTTCTGGCTGGATTCCATGGCCTCCCAGGCCTGGAACACCGTCCCCATCTTCTTAACCTGGCTCAGTTCTGTCACTCAGACTTCTGTCCCAATGGCTCTCCTTGGGAGCTCCAGCCTTGGCCTTCGGCCTGTTCCTTGTTATCTGTCTCTTATCGCATGGCAGCTTCTTGAGGGCTGTGGGTTCACATTCCTGGAGTTTGTCTGGGCCGGGTGTGGAGGGCCAGGTGTCTTCACCAGCCTCCTGGCCTAGCTCTCTAGCGGCTGCAGGAGCAGCTAAGAGCTCTGAGCTGCCAGGCAGTTCTCTGCTTTGGTTGCTCTCTTTCAGCAGGGTCCGCAGAGTAAAAAGACACAATAGATTGGTGCCAAGCTGCTGCACCTGTGTAATCAGGATGTCGGAAAAAAGACGGGATGGAGAGGGTGGCATCTCAAAGATCCCCAGGTGTCCTTGGGTGTCCCAGACCTGCAACAGAGCATCCCTAACCTCGCCAACTCTGCAGTCCCTAAAGCGAGGGAGCAAGAGTCCCGTGACCCATGCCAGCTTTTGGCAGCTGCACTGCGTAGTTAGAAGAGGTCAAGTTTGGATGGGATTTAGTGACTGCCTGCTTGCTGACCGTCTACACTTCCTTCCAGGCTCAACTTTTAAAGCTATATTGTTTTCCTTCTCTCAAATATTCAGTTTGTACCAGTCATTTTGATTAAAAAGCAACAACAAAAGAAGTTACACCTTTGTCATTCTTTTTTTATCCTTGAATTTTAGAAAGTAGGAACTTATAAGTCCCCTTTTAGAGATGGAAACTGAGGCTTACAGTAGTTTTATCATTTGCTTGAAGTGAGAAAACCCAGCCTTTAACATTTCAAAGTCCAGGTTCTAAATCACCGCATGTAATAGCTAAATAGCTATTAAGTGTTGCTATCTATAATCAGGCAGGTCTGGCCTACAGCTCAAAGGTTACATGCATTCAAAGGACCAGAAAATTAAGAATTTACTTAAAACATTAGGGATGCTCTCTCTCTCTCTCTCTCTCTCTCTCTCTCTCTCTCTCTCTCTCTCCCTCTCCCTCTCTCTCTCCCTCTCTATCTCTCTTTCTCCATCTTCTTCTCTCCCCCTCTCTCTTATAACTTGATTGTTTTCAAGCCTGAACTTCATAGATGTTATAATATCAAAGGGCTGGCTGTGCCTGAATTCTTTCTGTATATTCATGCCTCTGTAATGTTACCTCTGGGGACATCGGCTTCCAACTCCAGGGACGTGCGTATACCTGATGCATGTATACGCATGGCGTGTGCAGAGGGTTGTGTATGGAGAGCAGGTATTTCTTCGAAGTTGTTTCTAACTCTAAAAGTTGTTCCTCTCCAGAACCCAGTGACGTGCCTGGTGCTGGTGCCTGTTCAGTTACTGAAGGGACCAAGCTTAGGTTTCTGTCTGACCCCCTCTTCTATGAGGCCAAGATAAACAACAGTGTGCAATCCCATTTCTAGAGAATTCTCCACCTCAGAGACCCGTGCTCCTCCCTGGACAGTCTGTGACCAAATGTGTTCTGGGCTGAAGGGATTCTCGTATGCTATGGGGGTGGGTATACAGAATACCCTGGAGGATTTCAGGGGGACCCCAGAATTTTAGCGCCAATGGCAGGGCTGCTTATCTTCTCCGTTTCCCCCCTGATCCACAGTCTCCCCATTCTACCCAACTTTCTGTCCCCCAGAAATATAAGAGAGTGATTCTGGAGGGCTCAGTCCATTTGCTTGCCCAGAACCAGAGCAGTTCTGGGGTGGGAACCCTGACTTTGCCCCATCTTGGTAGAAGCCTTTGACTTTATCTTTGTGTAGGGTCCTTTCGTGTTGTCCAGATTTGAATGCTCCTTCTGTTCCCATGGGAACCGTCTGATGGTGTCGAGTACTCTTCTGTATCGGAAGTCAAAGTCTATGTTTTTTCCATCTCAGTACCCCACATCCTGCACGGCACTCAAGATCTGGTTAGAACCCTCAGTGAGCACTGCCTACTGTTGGTCATTGCCGTCTGCATCCACTGGGTGACGTCCACAACAGTCCTGTGATTATGATCCCCTTGAAGAGGAAAGAGAACAAAGAAGGACAGAGGTTGCGTAGCTTGCCCCAGGTCACACAGTGAGCACGTGGCAGGTCTGGGATTCCGTCCCAGGCATCGTGACGCCCTGAGTCAACAATCTTAAGACTGCTTTTGGCCTGCCTTCCCGTTTGTTGTTTTGGAGGTGATGTTTCTTAGCCAGGGCACCAAAAGAACCTGTTTGCCAACTCAGGGGCAGAAGGTGGAATGCTGGTCACCATGGCAACTGAATCAACGGACTTCACCAGCTGCTGAGCCCTTGGGGTGGAAATTCTACTGCTGGCGAGGAGGAGGCTGGGTTGGCATGGGGCAGCAGTGTCTGAGGTACCAGATGCAGTGTGAGGACCTGGACGAGTACCAGGTGGGTAGTTAGGTCACAGATTTGGGGCAGAACTGGGGACTTCCTGGGGCAGGCGGGACCAAGAAGAGAACTCTTCTTGCCTGAAGCTCTGGAGCGTACCAGGCTGGCAGTGATGTCTCTTGCCTCTGCTGAGCTTGTGTCCATGTGGTTCAGACCAGCACTCTCACCCTTTTCTCCCCTGCCCCTGTTCTGGAGCCCAGGGGGTGGTTTGCTTCTCACTGAATCTCCCAGTCTGGGCTGCTCTACCTTTTTGTTACAACATGGAAGCAGAGTAAGGTAGTGCTTTGCCCTTGGCTACCACCACAAGCCTGTTCTTGTGGCCTGCAGTGCCTTTCCTTCTTATAGTACAAAGAGAGAGGATGCCTCCCTCTCCTGAGGCTCCATGCTCTTCCAGGGCCCATGGTGGGACTGAGTGGCAGGTCACCTCTCTGATTTGTTGCAGGCTCTGACCTTCCTGACGAGAAATGAGATTCTGTGGTGAGTAGAGGCCCTGGGTCCTCCTTTTCCTTCTCTTAAGCTGGTTTTTTTTTTCTTGCTATGGCTTCGCTCTGGCCTTGGGGTGTGAACCCCTACTCAGAACTGCAGAGCCCTGAGGCAGCATCTGGGATGGACAGGAAGTTGTGAGATTCCACTGGAGTAGGACACATCAGACCTGGGCTGCAATGCTGTTACCACCACCAAGGAAGTTCTTAGCAGCTGGGATACCTTGGGACAATGAGGGAGACGAACAAAGGCTTAGAAAGTATAGGGTGAGCTTATTCAGGCTATTCACAGGTTCAGTGAACTTGGAAGCATCATGGACACTCAGTCTGCTACCTGTCCCCTCTCTTTCTTGCCTGCCCCCCATGTCTCTTTCCAGGGCCTGCAGGAAACAATAAGTTTTCAAGCAGGACCCTTCCCTGTGGAAAAGCTCTTGGCCAAAGACCTCATGATCCGGAATGGAGATGTGACAAATGGCATGGGTGGAATGGCCAGGGTAGATGTGTTTGGTTAGAGCCAGGTGCTCAGCAAACCCGTGTGGTGTGAAAACCCGTATGGTAAACAAACCTGTGGTGTGCAAACCTCTGTGGTGTACAAACCCCTGTGGCGTGCAAACCCGTGTGGTGTACATACTCATGTGATGCGCAAACCTGTGTGGTGTGCAAATTTGTGTGATGTATAAATGAGCTTTCCAGAAAACTCTTGGGGAAAGTCAGTGAATATGGGAAAGAGGACAGTTTTTAAACACTATCCCGGACACACACACACACACACACACACACACACACACACACCTCTTGGCCTCACTGGTTTTTCTTGGTCTTACCCTCCTTAAGCCCCACACCCAGCCTGAGGGCCACAAACATCAGACTCTCCAGGTGCAACAGGGTATCTAAGTGACAAAGAACTACAGAGACCAGGGACAATCTTGAGGCTGTTATTTTCCTTTTAAAAATATTTATTTGATTTTTTTTTCTATACTGGGAATCAAAGCTATGGTTTGATACGTGTAAGCCAAGGACTGGTGACTGCCACCCTCTGAACTCAACTTTTTTACATAGAGAAAAAAATGGCAGAACTCCAAACGAGCTGTAGCCCACCGCTCACCTAATCCCTGCTGACAGTTTCTAAGAAGTGATGTAGGCATAAAAAATAAAACAAGATGAAATGAAACAACACTTCGATACGGCTAGAAAATTCAAATAGTGAAAAGCAAATGACTACCTTCTGTCCCGTGGGCCCTTCCTCTTACCTCAGCTCACTGTCGGTTTATCGTCCAGACTCCCGCGAGAATTGTGCACGCACATCCATGAATCTCACCAGCGCACATCGCTGCTTCCTGTGCCTGCATCCTAGTCCTTTTGTTCTCTGTTTTCGCCTTTGAAGTTGTCCTCTTCGCCAGGGTTACAGGAGGCAGATGGAACCATCCATCCCTCCTCAATGGCCCTGGGTCCTTCCCTTGCTTTGATGAACTGTAATTCAATGCCAGATCCCGTCATGGATACTTAATCTGTGGGGTGGAGAGGAGAACTTGGGGAGAAAGACTGTGGAAAGCACCCCTGTTTTCTCTCTTGACCACTTGTCCCCCACCTATTTTCCTTTGCTCTACGCTAGCCTCCTGAGAATAAGGTTCTTGGAAGTGAGCCATCCTTAAGGGCCCCTTCTCATGTGAACGGACCACCCAGGACTTCGGGGGCAGCTGGTTGCATCCCCTTTCCACCCTGCCCCCATCCCCATCAAAGGAGGTTATGACAACCTGAATGTAAATGTGCCGGCAGGCTCGTGTGTTTGAACGCTTCATCTCCCGCTGCTGCTGCTATTTCGGGAGGTTATGGAACCTTTAGGATGTGGGGCCTGCCTCGCTGACGAATGTAGGACTGTAGTTCCTGAGGGTTCTGCTTCTAGACGGCATTGCTTCCTGATCCGCTAGGATTTAATAGCCCAGCCGATAAGTCCCCACAGCTTCAGACCCAGCATCCCAGCTGCCCGTCCAGCCATCATACTTTTCTCTACCACAAAGGGTTGTATTCCTTTCAACCATGAACCAAATAAACCCTCATAAATTATTTCTGTTGGGTGTTCTATCAGGGCAAGGGGAAAAGTCACTGATACCATGTCCTTATGCAATGACCCTGGAGACTCTACGTCTGTCTCCATACTGCACCCCTCCAAGTAAAATGGACAAGAGCAGGGGACAGGAACTCCAAGATGGCGGGTGATACTGGAGAGGTCCTGCTCCTTCAGGAAAGCTGACACCCCGGCCCAAGGATGTCACAGCCTGAGGAGCAGCTAAAGACACGGACAAGGACCTTAAACGATCAAGGTGCATAACTGCTATGATTCAAGATGAAAAAGGCACTTTGATTTGATCGTTCTGTTTGCATCACTATGGTCCAGGAAACACTGGTGCTGATCCACCCACCAGTCAGATGCTGTCTTGAGTGGTTGAGACTTCCACTGAGAACCTTAGAAATATTCAAGATTATAAGATTAAATCAGGAAAGCAAATGCATGGAACTTCCAGTTAGTATGGAAACAGAGTATCACCCATGTCTGTTCCCTCTACTAGAGGGAGAATGAAGGTGTGTTTTTAAAAGAAGACACAGGCCTGCAAGCACAAGAAGAGAAGCATAGCTGAGGAAGACCACCGGAAATGCGAGAAGTACCAAGTAGACAGCGCCCGAGACAGACTTGGCTGAGCAGAAAGCCGAGGAAAACTGACCTGCAGGGTCTGCAGGGATAGAATCAAACCCCAGAAAGACTGAGGGAGCTTGGAACTCCCTGGTGCAGAGTCAGGCGAGGACAGAAAGGGAAACTGAGGGTATCAGAGTGTATATCCCTTGCCCTGTGATCCACTTGGCACCTGCCCCTGCTCCAGTGGACGAAGAGGCCACCATCTAGATAAGAGTTATAGCCAGGCTGACTGCTGGTCACCAAGAGCAACAACGAGCAAGGGGATCTCCACTTAACCTTCAAAGTCTTGCTGTGAGTCTGACTTGAAGGCCAAGGACCTTTACATGTCAAGAGAAAACGAAAGAGCTTACATGTATCATCCTGCCAACACGACATTTCAGGATGCCGAGATAACAGGGAGGAAAAGGAAGAGTTCATACACAGGAGGAATGGAATCAGAACAGCGTGGGGCTTACACTGAAAGACACAAGTCCTTCAAAACTTTTAGGGAAAAAATTTCCAGTCTAAAATAAAGTTCCTGGATAAACTATCAATCAAAAATCTAAGTGGAGTAACAATATTTTTTACATGCAATTAAAAAAATATTTGAGACAACTTTTTGAGGATTTGCTTTGCTAAAATTAGTAATCAACCTCAAAGAAAGACACAGGACCCTTGGAAGAAAGGATTCTACCATAGAGGATGGAAAGAGCAGTTCCAAGGATGGTGACAGAGACAAGCTCAAGCAAGACAATGGAAACAGGCCTGGAGGACACTCAGTTCTTTACAGCGCTATAGAGCTATAGAGAGTCTGGGGGGGGGGGGTGAGCTAATGATAAGTATGCTACAGTCTCAGAAAACGAAAACAGAGCGATGGTTAAGTCTGGGAAAAACAAAAGGCATTGCAAGAAAGCAAATGCTATCATGTTACACAAGGGAAATCAGCTGTGAGAAATGTTTGAATAATAAATAAAATGTAATAGTAATACGGTAAATACAGAATATCGATTCAGGCAAATTGTTTTAAATTGGGACATCGGGAAAGGAGACTTATATAGAGAAATAAATCCTCCTCTTAATAGGGGCATGTCACAAGATAATATCTATAATGAAGGGTCCCGACAAATGGGAGCATTGGCACAGTACTTAGAAGCGTTATATAAATATGAAGAAAAACAACAAGAGAAACAATAAACTGTTTGTAAAATGCCTCTGGAGAGCAGGGTAGATAAGTGTGGGGGTACAGAATATAAGTCATAGGTTTTATACTGTTGATGTTTTTAGCTGATTGTAGTGTCTTCCTTTGGTAAACTAGACTGAGAGATACAAGATGCTACCAGCTTCTGAAGAGAGGGGTGTTCACACACAGATGCAGGATAATACCACCAGAGATGCAGGGCATAGACAGACTGAAAACAGCCTAGCTCCTCAGAGACAACCAGGGACTTGAATGTGACCCAGTTAGGGGTGCAGCGTGGGTAAAGGAAAGATACAGCTTAGAGCATGGTGCGGGCTCAGAAAGTTCTCGGCTCACGATGTGTAAGAGAATGGGTCATCATGAGTTGCTAAGGTCAAGCTGGATCAGACCAAGTCCTGGTCACCTTTGAACAGTTTTGTTTAAGTGGCCTCAGAGATGGTTCAGTGGAATTGTGGTGGTCCCCTGATAAAAACCATGAAGAGATCGATAGCAGGCGGGGAGGTGGGGAGTCCGTGTGAGATGTCTCACCTGCTCAGCCACATGAATAAGCACATGAAGGCCAAGTCACCAGACCCACATGCTGTGACTGGAGCTGGGTCATCCCGGCTCAGGCTGAGCCCCTTGGATGAATCTGTTACACTCTGGAATCTTGGTTAAGGTTGGATCTGTTGAAGCATTTGTTCCTAGACCCTGCTCAGGCTGGTCCTCCCTCATCCCTCCCTCCCTCCTTCCCTCCCTCCCTCCCTCCTTCCCTCCCTTCCTCCCTCCCTCCCTCCCTCCCTTCCTCCCTCTCTCCTTCCCTTCCTTCCAGTTGGGGACTGGCCATAGCATTGCTAGACAAATGCTCCCCTGAGCCTCTTAAGAAGCCACTCTTTCTTCTTAGCAACCTGGAGACTCTCCAGACTTTCTAATCTCCATCCCTTGTTCTACCTATTAGCCTCTGGGGCTCCCTGGAGCAACTGAAGATCCAGAACATGGAACATTATAGGTTTTTTTTACCTGGGAGCCAAGAGCCTGGGTTTAGGTTCAGCTCTGCTGTTTTCGAGCTATGTGACTGGGCCTCCGTTTCCATACTAGAAAACAATGTCAGAGGATTCAGCAGCCAACCTCACAAAGTCATCACAAGGCCAAGGAGATGACATGTCATTGTGTGAGCAGTGCACACCCAGCTCAGGGCTGAGCACACACAGTGTTGTTACCATATCGTTTCCCTTCTGCAGAGGATTGGAAACTGGCCCAGAGAAAGACAGTGATTCTCCCAGGGTCACACACAGAAATCTTCATGTTTGAGTCTTTGGGACCAGGGACTTACATTAAATCTCTGATCTTGGTCTTGCAGGTCCAGGAGAGGCATCTGGAAGCTTGTAGAACCTGTGCATTGCCCTGAGTGTGAATAGGAACCCCAAGACCTAGTAGGGTACAGAGCCATTTATAGATTCCCTACAGGTCTGAACAGAGCCCCGTTTGAGACCCTCTAAACTAAAAGGTCTCAGAAACAGCAATGGTAGGATGTCAGAGAGGGGTAGAGGCTTCAGAGTCACAGGTGCCTGAGTGGAGGGATGCGGGCAGGGGCGTCACCACGACACTTGTTTCTTACAAGAAACTGAGGCTGTGGGGAAGGGGGGAGGGGAGGGGCAGGTCCAAGGTCACGTGAAGAGGTAGCCCTCAGCTAAGTAGACTCTGAGCCTTTCTCTTGCCTGGGAGCCAAGAGTGGAAGTGAGCCCCACCCAGGCTGCCTGGCTGTTGGCAGGCTGAACGTGTGAGTTTCTCAAATGGCTTTGACTTTTGAGTCCATTAGTGATTAACTCAGAGCTCCATTTCGAGCTGGCTGATCCATATTTGGAGGAGGAGAACATTCTGTGGCAGCCGAGATGCAGCCGTGATTCATCTGTGGACAGCTGGTCCCTGTGGCCGTCTGGGGAGGCATGGAGTCTGGGCAGGGCTCCATTCAACAACCTTGCTCAGAGTCTGGGAAAGGGTGCACAGGGTCTCTCACCTGGGGGCAAAGAGTGAACCCTTGAAGGGGAGACAGCACAGATCAAATATTCCATTTTAGGGTTCAGTCATCCACTCTTGTTTCTTGCCAGTTGTACAACCTTAGGCATGCTGGGTGAACTCCCCAAGCCTCGGTTTACCCATCCACAAAAGTGGTCACTTCCACATCTCCCATGGGCACTATGGGGAAGACGCTAGGAGGTGACGTGTCTGAGTATGCCCGGAACACAGTGTGTGCTCGGAAGAGGGGTGGTGACACTTGCAGGGCCTTGCCAGCCTTCCTTCCCTGGACTTCTGGGCGAGAACTCTGATGTCTGCGACATCTTTAACATCCACACCCATGTGACTTGGGCAAGTCATCTACCTCCTATTTTCTCTACTCTAGAGGAGTGGTCCCTGCCTTGCTAGGTCCTCCCTATGGGATGGACAGAAGAGCGCTCACTCTAGGTACGCACCGCAAGCATGTGTGGCCAGGAGGGCTCAAACCTAGTGAAGAGCCAGGGAGATGGCTCGGCTGGTAATGTGCTTGCCACACAAGCAGGACACCTGGAGTTCCATCCCTAGAACACACATGAAAATGCTGAGCATTGTTTTTGACTCAGAGGTGGGAAGACAGACAGAATCGCCTACAGCTTCCTGACCAATAGCCTAACTGGTGAGATATGGGTTCAGTGAGGATCCTGCCCCCCAAAATAAGATGAACAGTGGTAGAATAAGACAGTGGACATCCACATCTGAACTCGGTAGGTACATGTATTCTTAGTACAAACACACACACACGCCCAGCACACACCTAGTGAAAAGTGAGTCTGTCTTTTGCCTGGACGTGATGGCACACACCTTTAATGTCAACACTCTGGAGGCAGAGGCAGGCAGATCTCTATGAGTTCAAGGCCGGTTTGATCTACGAGGTGAGATTTAGGATAACCAGGGCTACACAGTGAGACCTATCTGTAAAAGAGGAAAGAAAGGAAGTTGATTTGCAGTCATTCTAACAATGATCGTGAGAAAACACTCCTTTGGCCTGTGACTCCCTTTGCCCCTTAGAGGTCAGCAGGGAACCTCCAGTAGGAATGTTTTTTCTTTCTTCCTGTTGATCTGAGATGACCTTTCTCTCATCCCAACACCTTTAGAATTCTCTCCTAACCTCCCCACATCTTGCTTTTTTGGCTCTCGCTTACACTTAACACAGAGCCTCTAGGGACAATTTAGAGTCCCTTATTAGACTGGCAGGATTGTATCTCTCTCCATGTCTCTACAAGCCCCGGTCCACCTCCCATTTGCCAGGCCCTCCCAAGTCAGCACAGAGCCTACCCAATGGCAGACAGGCATAGAACCCATGTCTATGGTCTCTGGTACCACATTTAGTAGGGAAGGAAAAGGATCCACATGGGTTTGTCTGTCTCATTAGTCAGCATCCCAGAAAGACAAAGGCAGTATCCTCAGCCGCATCTTGAAGGTAGCATCTCATCCTGGGAGGTGATGGAGCATGGAGAAGCACTACAGAGGGTGTGGGAGGTGTCTGAACACCCACTACCCCTGCCCAGGGCTTGAGGTGCTCAGGTGCAGGTGGGACCTGCTGTAGTTGGCCTCCAGGAAGGGCACACTTGGCTGTGCTGAGGTTGTGAGGATGGGGAGATGGACCCTAACTATTCTCTCACGGCCTCCAACTTCCTGCTGGGGTTTCCCCTGGGCCCAAGCCCATTTGGAAGGTTGAAGGCCAGGGAGTCAGTGGCAACGGATGGAGATCAGCCTCTCAAAGTGCAATGCTAGGCAGAATTGTGGACAAATAGAATCTTGGCTTATTTTTCCTCCATGTGTCCATGGCTGAGACTTACAGGATACTTTTCTAGTCCATGAGCTGTGACAAGAGGAGTGACTGAAAGGGAACCAGACGATGGCTCAGCATTCTCTGTTGTTGGGCACTGTCATGGCCTCCTTCTCTACCCCCCCGATTCTCTGACCATAGACTCACCCTCGAATTCTTCACTTGGCAACGTGTCCCTAAATCCCCACTGACTAAAATTCATCTGTGTGATGTGGGGATGCCAATGGAGGGCTGTGAGTTACTCGCTCCAGAATGTGAATTTGACTGCTAGCTCCTGGCGCTCAGCAGAGGAAGGCAGACTAGAAAAGGAGCGGAGAGAAGGATAATTTTGAAGCATAAGGGGGATCATAAAAGAGGCTTGAGGGCTGGTGGGATGACTTAGCAAGTCAAGTAGTCACCACCAACCCTGGACACCTGAGACACAAGGGAGAAGAAGAACTAGCTTCCAAGGGGTGTCTTCTGAACGCCACATGTATGCAGTGGCATGTGTTCGTGTGTGTGTGTGTGCGTGCACGCGCTAAAGATATAATAATAACTAAAAATGCGGCTGGAATGAAAGCCTGAGCGAGGTGAGAGGGCTTCCTCCATCGTTATCGAGCTTTGAGTTGTACAACAGCCAGAAGAACTGAGTGCCAGATGCACAGGAGAACCCAAAGAGGAGAAAGGGATGTAGATCTATCCGGGTAAAAAATACCCATATTTTATACCATATTTACACCTTAACACACATACATGCACACACACACGCATGCACATACACATACATACACATGAAAACACACATGCACGTGCACACATGCACACATACACACAAACATGCATGCGTGCACACACATGCATGCACACACACACACACATGCACACACACTCATGCACTTCATTTCACTCACACTGAATTTGCATGGCAAGAGAGGTCCTGATGGCTCTTAACTCAGTGATAAAGATAAGACTCAGAACCATTAAGTTTACCAAGACCCCGCAGCTTTGCCCAGTCTGCTGTCTACTCTCTCCTCCACGGGCCGCCACAGTCCCTGGCCTTGTAGTCCCAAGAGCCTGCTGATGAACAGAGCCTGCAGTCCAGGATGGGGTGAGAGACTAAGAGATCATCTTGTCTCTGCCTAGGACAGGGTTCGTCCTTATTGCTTGCTCAGGTTTTCAGTCTGCAGGGGCCACTTGTCACCAGCTGTCCAGCTTGGAAGTCAAGTTTGCCGGCTGCCGGTACATGGATTTTAAACCTGGCTCCTGTGTTCACCAAGTGACCTCTTTATACATGCTGAGGATGAGGGTATCTGGATGTCCAAAAGAGGACCTGGATACCTCCGTCTGTACCTGAGGAGCTGGAAGGAGCCACGGCAGACACTCCTGCCAGCTCTGCCATTCCAGAGTGGACACCGTGGAATGTGGCCCATGTGGCAGAACATTACACGGAGCCTCTCTCCTTTCCTTGTTCCCAGCTCATTTGTATACCCAACACGGAAGACAGGAGGACTGGGCATATTCCCCGTTCCATGGCAGCCCGCACTCAGTGCCTTTTTCTTACTGACACACCCCTACACACACGAGCAGGGGACTCCATCGCCCCCTTTCATTCCTGTGTGACCACTATGCCTCTCTCCTTTCTCCTCAGTATCCACAAGACCTTCCTGAAGCTCTGCCCCTCAAGGAAGCACTATAAGGAGGTCACACTGACCATGGACCAGGTCAGCTCCCTTCCTGCTTTGAGGGTGAGTCCGGGATGGGGAGGGGCTGAAGGTATGGCAAGCGCGGAGCGGGCCTTCTGTGTTGAGTGTTGAAGGGTCTCATCTGACTGTCATTCCCAGGGGCTCTGGGATTTCTAGGCAAGGGGCCCATCAGGACGTGGCCCTCACATACTTCTCACTCATTTCTGTCTCCCCCACCCCATCAAACCTGGCCAGACAGGTGTAGTGACCATTGCCCTCTCTCAGGTGAGGACAACCAGCCAGGATGTGAGAGTCACCCCAGGTCTCCCTGTTAGAAGGTGGTAGCCCGGCTGGAAGATCTTACTGGCCCCGTTCACAGGTCTTCTACTCCCAATCCCATTAGTCCCTGATCTGCCTTTGGGGGCTCACCATTTGCTCCACCCCTCAGTGACCCAGAGACCCCTGTACCTTCTCGTTCCTTCTACTGCCCTTTGTACAAAAGACTGGGGAGATTAGAAACGTAGGGGAATCCCACACAGGACCACCAGGGGCCATGGGGCTCCTTCAGGCCCTCTGCCCAGCCTTCTTCTGTCCTCCCTGTCTTTTGTTCGTGCTATATCAAGACTAGAACTCTTACAGAGAGGTTGAGAGCGTCCTCAGTTTCTCCCATGAGGAGCCTGAGACTGTCCCCTAGTCTGCCTTTGTCCATTTCTAGGTGTTTAAAGAGAACACTTTGATTCCAGCTCTTCCATTAATTCCCCATCTATCTATCCATCCATCCATCCATTTGTCTGTCCATTCATCTATCCATCCATCCACCAATCCATCCATCCATACATCCATCTATACATACATACATACATACATACATACATTTGTTTGTCCATCCATCCATCAGTCCATCCGTCCATCAAAGTTGCCAACCTTGCTAAGGCAGGAAGCTCCTCAGGCATATCTAATCTGCAACCTGACATGTGCAGCAAGGACAGCGTTGAATGAAGTCTCACCAAACCCTAACCTCTCCTGAAACAGTATGGGCTTTGTTTTTTTGTTTTTATTTGTTGGTTTGTTTTAATTTTGGCTTTGGCATTCTGGAATACGTGCAGTTCTTGAGTATGACGTTTATGGATGACTATGTCATTTCACAATGTCAAAGGCTGAACACAATGCAGTCACCTGCCTGTTTCCCTCTGGCTTTCTCTACTTTACCAAAGCTGAGTCCTATACTCCATATTCCCAGGACAGACAGACAAGCGGGTGAGTCCTCAGTTTCTCCCTATGTAAAATGGGAGGAGTGGGGGGGTGGCTTGGAGGCTCCTGGCTCCCAACCCCCTGCTGCTCTGGCACTACCACCACACTTCTCAGTTCCTTAGGGACAATGGCTTGAGACTTGCTCTGCTATGAAGAGGCCCTGTCCTTTCCCAGGGCAGCTTGGCCAGGCCCAAATGTACAGAAGGAAGGACTCCCCAGTCACTCTGAGGTTTTAATTAAAATTTGCCCATGGTTTGTGAGAGTCAGGAGTGGGCTGACAAGCCACAACACTCAGACTTCCGCAGACGTCATTCGGATCCTGGCGGAATAGTGATCAGAGCTATCACTATGCAGTGAGGGCCACACCTTCCCTCTGTCTGGAGCAGGATGGGTTCTGAGGGTAAGGCTGCCTCAAAGATGAGGCCCAGGGAGCTGGGAGGAGGAGCTGGCTACTGAGTGAGGATTATTGTAGTTATTCAACCAATGCTATGGTGGTAGTCATGACCCTCAGGTGCAGAGGTGGCTGCAGAACCAGCACCCAGATGGGTTTGAAATACAAGGATGGAGAAGGTCAAGGAGTGAGAAAGTGTGGGCAGGAGTAAAGCTGCCTAAGGGATGTGTAAATTTTCAACAGCACAAGGAGATACATTCTAATGGCCAAGGCTTCACAGGGAATGAGTCCCCCACCACCAAAAGGAGCCAAACAGATCATTCCAGGAGGCCCTTGGCAGGGGTATTCTGGCATATGCTTGGTACCAAAGGGAGCCTGGACTAGATGTCTCCTCTGAGTATGTAGCTCCGGTTCTGGGGTGAGTCTTGTTCTCTTCGGGATCATCCTTCACAGTGTATCCCAGACTTTTTATCCTGAAACTGAAGTCTATTTTCAGCAGGGACTGGAGATACCAACCTCCAATTTTCCCAAGTAAGGACATTCAAAAAAAATATGTCACCCCTAATCACCATCAATTCACTTTTAAAATATGTTAATTTCAGCCAGACCTGATAACATATGCTGTAATCCCAGAACTTGGAGCTGAAAGTGGGGGAGGGGGGATCTGGACTTCAAGTCCAGCCTGGGCTACAGGAGATCCTGTGTCAAAACAACAGCTGTACACCACAAATTAATTAATTAAACACACACACACACAATCTCACCCCAGGAACAAGAGCCTTGGTGGAAGTTGTTATTGCTGTCATCGCCTCCCTTTTTGTCTTATCTTTTTCCCTTTGTCATCAGCTGTCAACCACCATGCCACTGGCCTCAGGCTGGACTGAAACCTACATTCCTGTCCCCTACACTCCTGTTGCCCTCTGCATCTTCCAATCTTGGGCAAGTGGAGGAACCCTGCAGCCCAGGGATCAGAGCCTTGTTACTCACACTACCCAGGACCTTTTCTGGGACAGGCTTGGAGAATGTGGGGGGCAGGGGAGGTGGGGGTGGAGGACAGGGAACTTTAGGGATTGGTTTAACTTGGTTAGGGGGCTTGGATGGTGTGAGAAGAATGAAGCTTTGTTTTCTTAATTGGTTTTCATCATGGAAAAAGCGGGCTGGTGACTTAGAGAGCGAGGCACGAGAAGGTTCCCGGTAGCAGAGATAGCCGGAAAAGCCTGTGGACAAAGACGCCTACTGGTTGGGACACTGCGCCCCTTTTCCACGTGGGGTTTTATGCTCTGTTTGTCTGCTGTATTTGATGTCTTTAAAAGTCAATTAGCTCAATGTTTCTCTTCCTGTAAATAATGACCTTGCTTTCTGTAAACACTGTGAGTGTGGCATGGCGTGACTCGGGTTTCTGGTTTCCTGGCCCGGTGCCTTTGTGTCCACCTGGGATGATGGGTGGCAAAACCTGAGAGAAGGCAGAGCGAGCTGTCTGAGGAAAAGGGTGGGGGATGGCTTACTCCCTAGCCAGGCCATCTGAGCATCTCCCTATCCCCTCCCCCTCCCCAGGATCTCTAAAGAGAACATTAGATTACTCTTCTCAGCCTCTGACCCTCCTGGAGGTAGGTGTCTAGCTCTCTGCCCTCCCAAGATGTCCCATGCGTCACCCCACCCCCACGACTTCCCAGTGTAGCAATCGGATAATTTGAAACAAAAGAACATTTGGCATTGGGTAGTCAGTCTTTTTGTTATTTATTTATTTATTTTTAAATAAAATACTTGAAGCAGGCTACTTCACTGAGAATCCAAGAAGTTTATTTAGTTCATTTCTGGAAACTGCAGGCTGCAATGAGGGGCCTCCCCTTGGCTAAATCACATCACAGCAGGAGCCCATGGCTGTCTCTCCCTCTTCTTTGAAAGCCGCTAGAATTCACTCACAGGGCCCCACCTGAATGATTTTATCTGATCTAATCACTTCCCCAAAGCTTCACTTCTGGGCTCTGTACTAGGATTGCTTTCTACTTCCTCCACACCATTAACATAAAGCTTCAGGGATTAAACTCCCTCAGTGAGCAGAGACGGGAGACAGCCACGGGTGCAAACCATTAGCAGGTGTCTCGGTCACCACGGCCCTGTACCCTCCCCGGGGCTAAGCTGTGAAATAAAATGTGACGAGCTTTCCTTTCTGCACATTTTTGTTGTTATTTTTTTCTGGATATAATAATTGTTTTTGCTTAGTTTTCTTTGTACATATCATTAACTCCTCATCAAGGCTCTACCAATTGTCTAAATCGCCGAGAGCGTTCAGAAGGGAGGGGTTTCTGTTTCCTTTTCTTAGAGAAGTTTTTCTTGGTGCCTTGTACTTGCTGTCGTTGGGAGAGGGTTGCACTTTGAACGCAGGACATGCCAGCATCCTAGGTGTCTTTGCTTCCCCATCCTTCGGATTCCACATCTCCCTTCGCTCCTGTGCTTTGGTGGGGCACATCCTTTAGTAACTTTCTGATAAAGAACACTGGGAGCTAAGTGTTTTGTGACCCCCTACACATCTGAAAATGTCCTTATTGTCCCTTTACACCTGACTAAGCATTTAGATAGAACTGGATTATAGATTGGAAACCATTTTCCTTCAGAATTGGGGAAGTATCACTTGATTACAGTTTAGCTTTCACTGTTGTTAATGAGAAATCCAAAGCCTTTCTATTTTCTGATTGTGTGTGTATGTGCATGTGTATGTGCATGTGCGTGCATGTCGATACGTATGTCTGTGTGTGTGTGTGCGTGCATGTGTGTGCATGTGCGTGTGTGTACATGTGTGGGCACGCATGTGTATGTCTGTTCATGTGTATGCATGTGCGTATGTGTGCATGTACGTATGTGTGTGCATGTCTGCACGTGTGTGCGCGTGCATGTGTGTGTCCTGCTGTTTTTGCTTCTTCATTCATGCTCACTTTCTTTCTGAGAACGTGCTGCTCTCATTCGTTGGCTTTGTGGTGTTGGGATTACGGGCACATGCAGCCATGCCTGGCTTTTTAACACGAGAGCTGGGGGTTCAAACTCAGCTAGCAGAGCAAAGGACACTTACCCACACTGAGCCATCTCTGCGCAGTGTTGTTTGGGTTAGTCTTTCATTGGTCTGGGGCTCATCCCTATGTCTGGGCTGACTGTCCTGCCAGCTCCAGGAATCTGTCTGTCTCCACCACCCCTGAGCTGGGATTGCAAGCATGGACCACCACATCTGGCTTTTTGACAATGGACTCTGAGCTTCACACTGAGGTCCCTGTTTGCACTACAGACACTCACTGTGCCTTCTCTCCTTTCTAGACTGCGTCTTCAACGCTTATCTTTCAACCACAATGTGGTTTTCACTCTCCCGCTTAAGTGTTTAGTTTCCAGGATCTCATTTGTGTTCTGTCTTCTCCCTTTCTTGAGTAAAACC